GTTGGTTGGTCTTACAATTGTGACCAGAGACCTGAGGAAATCCGGGGTGAGCCCTGCAGTTATCACAGAGGCCTGCATGGAGTAGGGGGACGGGACAGCAGCGGGACATGAGGTGGGAGAAGCAGACAGTCAAGATCACACAGGAGGGCCTCCCAGATGAGGAACTTGTGTGGCCCTGGTTAAGAGAGGACACCCTGGGAGGTTTCAGTCATGGGAGTGATGTAGCTGTGTGGGCAGGAGCAGAGCCTAGCAGAGTAGTTAGGAGGTGCTAGAGCTGTGGGGCTGGGCTCACAGGGGTGGCTGTGGGGTCCAAGTGAAAACACAGGGCTCAGGCTGACTTAGACTTTGGCCCAACAAACAGGAAGGACGAGCATCATGGCCACATCCTAGGTGGGACTATGGGGGTCGGGGGAAGATCAGGGATTCTGCTTTGGACATGTTCAGTTGAAATATGTATGAGTTGCCCGAGTGGGAGTGTTGAGCAGGCAGTTAATGTACAAGTTCCCCTCAGGGCTGGAGGTATGAATTCTGCAATCATCAAGTGTAAATGGAATTTAAAGCTCTTGAACTTAGAAAAGTCCCAGAAAAGCAGACCAAGAGGCACGGCCATTGATGGGGGCAATCAGAGACCCTGCGCCAGGCTGCAGGCACCCAGAGGGTGGGGAGCTGAGAAGCTGCCTAGTAACACCCGAGCGGCCAAAACACAGCACCATCTTTTTTACGTGTTTTTATTAATAAAATAGGTGTGTCTTTTAAGAATATGCATATTTTTCTCCATATGACCCCATAAAGCTGCTTTCATTCTTAATACAAACGTGTTGCTTATCTTCCCTGCATTGACTCTTCTGAAAGGAGATTGTTCACTGGGTCTCTAATCTCTAAGAACCCCTTCAATGCTGGATTTCATTCTTACAGATTAATTCTGTAAATTAATCTCGCTTATACAAGATTAAGATCACACAGAAATATCAGTAAACTGGCTCTGATTTTTGCAAGAAGCCAGTTGAATAGAGGGGCTCTGGAAATAATTAGGCAGATTTCTCTGACCTTGTGTTATGTAACTCTGTATGTTTCAGAGCACTCACAATACTGGGGAAGAAGTGCTTAAGAATGAGCCTTACGAATTTAAGCAGGTTGATTTTTCCATACTACTATGCTTGCCTTTAGGAACTGTAGGTATCCATTAGAATTTTTCTCTTAGATTTATTTGGAGTAGGCTTTTAGGGTACTCATGATGTTTACTTATTAGAGAAGCATCACATTAGCATTAAACTTACTTTGAAACCCAGTCCCTTCTTAGAAAATTCAATATAAAACCCTGAGAGCAACAACAAACCTAATAAGGTATATTAATTATGTCATGGCAGCCTGCCATTAGAACGAACAGCAGGAACCCCTTGGGATTGTGTGCACTGCCCCCATTCATGACTAGGGATGGGACAGTTTCCATGAAGCTGACATGGCTTCTGACTGCCCAGACCTCTGCTTGTAGATTTTACTTTAGTTCTTACCTTGTTCTGGTATGAGAGTCCAGCAATTTTCAAGCTTTACTGTTTATGAGAATCGCTGCATGGTGCTATATACATGATAACCGGTATCCTGTAGTTAGTGTGCAGTCAGTTTGAAGGGTTTCATGAGCTGCAGGTCTCTTGCCATATGGGGCTCCTGTCCTCAAGGCACCCCATAAATGAGGATAATGTCACCACTAACATGTTTAGAAGTCAGCTGGCATGGACCTACTCACTGAGTGCATATCAAGTGCCTGCTGCATACCAGGAGCTGTACACGCTGCTGAGGTTTTGTAGTCATTGTTTTTTTGGTGTGGAGCCCTTGGGGCAGTAGCTGGGCCTGCAGCCCTCCTGTTGCAGGGAATTGCCACAGGGTTATGTGCACAGGGTCTCACTTGAGCACAGACCAAGGGCCTCCTGGTTCTGCCTGGGGGCTGGAGGCTTCCTGAGAGGTGACTGTAGGTAAACTTAATAGGGGCATCGTGCGCAGAGACACTGAGTGGCTGTGCCCAGGACAGAAACCTGAGGATAACAGAACCAAGGAGCTCTGCCCTGCTGTCAGTGGCAGAGCCAACAGGCAGAAGCGTGTCGAGAGGCACGGCCCTGGGCTGCTCTTGGGTGCCCTATCCCTGCCACACCCCTTCTCTGGACCTTGGTGTCTGTGGGAGAAAGATGATCCGACCTCCTCCCTAAGATGTTCACATCCTGATGTTCTACCAAATGAGAATCTGGGCAAGGCAGCCCGAGAGCAACGTGGAGAAACCCATAAGCTGCTGCTGGGAGCACTGAGAGCACGTGGCACGTGGACATGTCCGCAGCAAATTAGCATTCCCATCTCACAAGCAGTGCACGCTTTGCCTCTCAGGGTCATCATGAGATATATGCAGATTTTCAAATTTAATTAAAATCTGGTTGGAAAGAATCACAAGGTGTGTTGGTGAGAAATCACAGAAGGGCAGGGCGGCAGCAGACCATCTCATGGGAGCTGCAGACGTCCTTTCCACTTGGCTTTCCTGTTCCTGTTGACTCTCCTGTTCTGTGAGAGTTTCCTGGTCTGGATGTGCCCACCTGGGGCCAATTTGAGTGTAGGAACCTCTGCAGTAAAATGTGGGTCCTGCCTGGGATTTGTCTCAAGAGGTGTTTTCAGGTTTAGGGGTTTGTCTTATTTTCATACCCAGAGATGGGCTCCTTTTTCTTTTTGCAAGCTCAGGTGTGCATTTTAAACTTTTCATTACATTTTAGCCATTTTTAGATGTTCGTAGTGGGTAAGTTTTGGGGCTATGTTAGTCTGCCATCTTGCCAGCACTGCCGTTTTTTAACTCTTTGTTTTAATTTAACATGATGGGAGGTTCAGGAAGGTCATATAGACTGATAGTCTGCGTATTAGTGCTTTCAAAGGAACAGTACTCAATTTTGAAAGCAGTTTATTCACTTTTATTCTATTCAAGTGTCATTGCATTTGTATGCAGTTACATAAGGAATGCATTATTTTGCAGCTGTGTAATATATACTATTAGTTGAAACAATTATAATCTGTTTTGTTGGCTTTTATGAATTCAAATGTCTTGTTGTGGCTTCAATTTAAAATGTACTTGGGCTTCTTTTTCAGCAAGAGACTGTCCAGGACAGGATGTGGGGTTTTTGTCCTTCCTGCTTAGATGTGAGGCTTGGGACCCAGCGGTAACCAGTCAGCAGAGGGGTCAGTTCAGTCTGGCTCACCCCACCCTCCCAGAGACACAGAGCACATTGTGGGTGCTCCCTGCAGGAGGCCAGAGCCACTTCCTCCACTTCAGTGGTGGCTTCGCCCAGGGCTGAAAAGGAGGATCGATAGTAGCTTGATTGTTCCAAGAGGAAGTGGTGGGAATGGTAATTCCATTCTTTCAAGGATACTGTTAGATCTTACGGAAGCATGTGCTTATATTTGAATGCCTGATTTTGATAGGAAAAGCCTATGTTTGAGCCATAGTATCAGTTTGTCCATCAGACAAATCTGTGTACTCAGTGCTGTGCTTGCAGAGGTAGTCAGCACAGATCTCTGCCCTTAAAGGAGCCCCTCCTCCCTGCTTACATCCCATGGGCTCATCTCCATTCAGCCTTTCTTCGGAAGTGATATCTGAATGTTTCTGTGTTGAAGTGATGTAGAGAGTATGTTGAGGCCACTGACCTTATTTTGAAAATTTAGAATATTGCCGTTCCTGAGGCCACTTACCTTATCTTGAAATTTTAGAATATTGCTGTTCCTGTGTAACATTGAACTAGGGAATGACAGTTGGGAAGCTGGTATGTGTGTAATTAATAAAAAGTAAGCCATTAGCACCTGCGAATATGCCTGTAGCACATGTGAAGTATATAGTCTTTCCAGCCTTAAGATGGAAAGGGTGTAATCTAGCTGTTACAGAGAAATTTTGAATTGCTATGTCTGTGATAATTTTCACTGCGTAGCGTACGTTACTGGAAACCATAGTTAATGTAAAGTTGTCAGTGTTTGTAAATGTTATTATTTTTAAAGTGAATTAATTGAAAATGAAAATAAAATTCCTTAATTAGAAAAATCTTTTTGTCATCCCCTAGAAAGAATGTAGTCAGAACCATTTGCTTATCTACAACAGGATTAGAAATAAACACCCTTAATTATATCATTGAATCTTCTGTGATTTGTGCTGGTTTGGAACGTTTTTCAAAAAAAAAAAATGGATAAACCTACAGGATTTTTTAATTGTTAAAACAGTGGCTGCTATCCTACAGATATTTGCATATGTGTACAAAATATGTAGGAAGCTATTGTACATCCCTGTTTATAATGGAAAAGTTCAGGAACAACCTCAGCGCCCATCAAGACTTTATAAATAAATTTCAGTACATTTGTGTATTGCAGGGTGGGGTGGGAGGAATGCAGTGGTTGAGAAAAGTAATGCAGTTATATAGATGAGATGGTTTCCAGGACGAATACTTAAATGAACAAGCATTGATGTCACTGTGGGGGAAGAGCCAGCAGTATTCATTCACATGTGTGCTTTTATAAGCGTAGATTATCTTGGCAGGCCACATAAGAAAAGAATAACTAACTAGTTACTTCTAGAGAGGGGACCTTTTCCCAATCTGCACATTCTGAAGTTAGGGAAAACATTAACCTGTCTAGAAAAAGTTAACGCTTGGTGGCCTTGAATGTCCTCATGCCCATTTACCTTTCTTTTTGTCCCTGGGTATGTGTCTTGGCTTCACCCAGTTCTTCTCAATTGCATATCACACAGTCAGCTTTTCTTGGATCAGAGAAATGCAGAAAACAATGTGGTTAAAAATGGACAGAGTGTCCTTTGGTTAGAGCACAGTATTTGTAACACCAAGGTCAAGGGTTTGGATCCCCTATACTAGCCAGCAACCAAAAAAAAATGGACAGAGTGACATTGTATTTAGTAAGGAGTAAGGCATAGACTGTTACAGACTAGCCTGTCATCTGCCACACTCACTCCCCCAAAATGTGTCTCTTAACAGCAACAGTGGCAGCCATGTATTACAGCTATTACATGTTACCAGATGGCACCTACTGTCTGGCACCTCCCCCTCCGGGAATCGACGTGGCCACTTACTACAGCACCCTTCCTGCTGGTGTTACTGTGTCCAGCTCCCCTGGAGCAACGACCACTGCCCCACCACCTCCTGGGACCACGCCACCGCCTCCCCCAACCACAGCCGAATCCAGCAGCGGGGCAACCTCCACCACCACCACCACAAGGTGTGCCTGCCTGCTTGAGTTTGCTGTGCACTGCTCTGCACGAGTCACCTGGTACATCTGTGTTCTCCAGCTGGGGTTTATGAGCTTGACTACATTACATGCAGGGGTCTCCGTTATCTAAGTAGTTATAATCCAGATCCCCAAGTTACACACTTGACAGGAAAACAGAAATTGTCATAATATAAAGATTTTTAGCTGTGAAGTCTAACCACTTTTAAAATTTAATTCTCCTTTAATGTCCCACACCTGCCCCTCAGCTCCAGCATCTCTTCTTGTGCATCGTGTCAGCATCTCAGTTGGGCTACAGTGCCAGGCAGAATCATGGGAGGCAAAACTGTGCTTGTTTGCAAAACATACAGGCTTTCATAAAGTTGGCAAGGGTGATACTGGGGTGCTTCTGAGTCTCTCATAAGCCCTGGGCAGATGGGGTCTGGCAGTTATACCAGTTAACCAGTGGAAAAGAGAGAGCGAGAGGGCACCAGTACCCCTGAGGGTGCTCTCATCATGACGAAGGCAGGATGGGCACTCTGTCCGGGACTGGAATGCCTCAAGTTTTAAAGGGGCTCTTGGAAAACTTAATGAAACACTGTAGGATATTTCTGCAAAAATGCCCCAATTTCTGATCATGCTGACTGAAGTCAAATATGAGATAAAGGATATTGAATCATGCAAGCTGACTTTTTTTTTCAATATAATAAAAAAAATTAACACAACTTAATTCTTGGTCATTGGTAAGAATTAGCTTGTGATTGGAGGGAAATATTAATTAGGAGAAAAAAGTGAACCTGCTTTTATCACTCCAAGTCTCACTTTTCAGTAAAACCCCCGTTTTCATTGGTAGCGTGATGCTTTGGTCCCTGTTTAAATGCATTGACTTTAGTTTCTATAGCACAAGCACCTTCAGATCAAGAGCTTCCCGTATTTGTTGTTTGTATGAACCGCTAAGGCAGTGAAAGGCCCCAGCAGCCAGGGCACTCGGCGCATCTGCTGATGGCAGGAGGGTGGTTTACCAGGGCTTTCCTCTGCAGTGCCCTTGCACCCGTGGCCACCATCATCCCACCACCCCCCGACATTCAGCCCGTGATTGACAAGCTGGCAGAGTACGTCGCCAGGAATGGCCTTAAATTTGAGACCAGTGTTCGTGCCAAGAATGATCAAAGGTCAGATGAATTTTATATATGTTAAGTATACATATTTGGGATTTTAGTTTAGCTTTTTTTTTTTTAATCTAGCTACTTAATACATTTTGTAACTATCATGTTAAATTGCTTAGTTGGGGTCTTTTTTTTCTTTCTTTTTTTTTTTTTTGGTTACCTGTTTTTTGTTTGTTTGTTTTATCTTGTCTTTTTTTAAGTAAAAATGTTGAAGCTACTTAAATTAAGAGGCTGGAGTTCATGCTTTTCAAGAATCTGTCTTGGGGCCGGCCCATGGCTCACTCGGGAGAGTGCGGTACAGATAACACCAAGGCCATGGGTTCAGATCCTATATAGGGATGGCTGGTTTGCTCATTGGCTGAGCGTGGTGCTGACAATACCAAGCCAAGGGTTAAGATCCTCTTACCGGTCATCTTTTAAAAAAAAAAAAAAGAATCTGTCTTGGAAATTTAGTCACAAATTTTGTCTGTTTATTTTTTAGATCAAATAAGGTTCCATGCCTCAGGTAGTAAAACATAAAACATTAGTTGCATTTACAGTGTGATCTGTGTGTCCCCGGACAAGCGATTTAACTTCCCTGTGCCTCAGTCTCCCTCATCTGTAAAATGGGTAGCTATGATGGTAGCTACTTTAAAGTTGTTGAGGCGATTAAAGAGTTAGTCATTGTAAAGTGTTTGGAACAGTGTCTGGCTTGTAGTAAGTACCCAGTAATACCCAGTAAAAGTTAAATGTTGTTATTGAAATGTGTTTGTTGTCTTAAATGACTGGTTTTCTTTTTCTGTTTGTAGATTTGAGTTCCTACAGCCATGGCACCAGTACAATGCCTACTATGAGTTCAAAAAGCAGTTCTTCCTCCAGAAAGAGGGGGGCGATAGCGCACAGGTACATACCTCTGGAAAGCTCTGTTGACAGGGCAGTCTGATTTGCAGATACAGAAATGATTTTCTGTTTATTCTCAGTATGTGCCAAAGGTCTTGTTGATTCTACACTTGTTCTTAATGTATATCTGGCATGCTGTCTTTAACTTTTCCCACCTCTCAGAGTTGAGATGTGCTGTTTAGAGTTGTTGGCTTATATTCATAGTGCTTGTTGATCATTTATTTGTCCAGTGTGTTCCAAACAAAAAACATCCTGTTTCTTCAAGCATTCAATGTTTCAGTTAGCTCCTATTTTTAACCTTTTTTGATGAAAGCCATGTATTGTACTTCTGTTGTGCTAACACATCTAACATAAATTTAAATACATAAAATATAAACATGTGCGTCACACGGGCATGCTGGAGCTTCCTGGCACTGTCCATGGTGGAAGCCCTGTGTCCTGGACCGTGGCTGGCTACCTGCCGCCTCACGGCCTTCCCTCTGCAACTGTCCCCACACATAGTTCTCATGCACCTGCTTGAAGCATTTCTTCTTGTCCTTGTCCTTTTTCTGCCTTTACTCTCCTCTTCTCAGTTATACAGACAGTCTGACTCTTTGTGTTGTTTTTTTTTTTTAATAAGAACATAGTTGTACGTATCTGTGGGGTTCAGCATTGAATATCAATACTTGTGTGCAATATATGATGTTTAAATCATAATTAGTATAATCTTCATTATGCAATGTAATCGATTTTCGTGGCCCTTTACCAATTCCTCCCTTTTCCACCTCTGGTAACCTCAGTTCTGTTCTCTTCTGACTCTTTTTAAAGCTTGTTTTGGTAGAGAGATGACATAGGCCTTGCTTATCAGTAGATTTCTTCAGACCTTTATCTCCAGTTGCTCAAACTGAAGAAAAGTGACTCATCTGTAGGTGGTGGATATAATTTGATATTCTAAAAGTATTCTCCATAATCAGTCTCCAAAGAAAAAATACTGGAGATTGGTGCAGAAGACAGCATTAGAGATATAAGAAGTGTAGTGTTCTTCCAGAAGGGAGGGACTCCTTCCGTTCTTCTCCTCTCATTCTATTACACCAGAAAATAGTGCATCTAAATTTGAAGGTATGTCCCTTAGTGCTACTTGAACAGTTATGTAGAAATGCTGTTGTCCAGTGAAATACATGTATATATGTGTAATCTTTTTTGACAAATTCTGTATAATTTCTTACATAACAATTTATAATAATGTTTAATCTCCCTAGGCTGCATCAGCACCAGAAGAGGGTCCTGCAGAATCTGCTTCTGAAGAGCCGAGTGATGCTGGAGAGGATGGTATGCCTGCAGACGCTGCTGAGGCGGCAGGACGAGGAGGCTCAGGCGGGAAGAAGGAGGTGGCATCCAGTAAAACCGTCCTGGACGGGAAGCTGGTAAAAGGTGCGCTGCTGCTGCAGTTACTTCTTGGCCTTGCGGGCTTCACTTTAAATTACCAAAAAAAGAATTCTCAATTACTTAGGACTAGGTACCTTTAACTGTAGAACAGGACGGAATAGGCAGCTTCTTTTAAGTTGCTGTAACAAAACTTTCTCGCTTGGTCCTACTTTCCTACCGTGGTCATATGGATATAAGCTAGTCTTAGACATATATTTGTTTAACGGCCTGTCCTGAATAATTTAATGGAAATGTTTAGAAATTTTCAAATAATGTTTCATACCCCTCAGACTTCTGAAACTACATTTATATGCAAACTAGTATACCAGTGAAATTCATTTTATTTGTCAAAGCGGGTCCCATGAGAATCTCTACCAGACAGTACTCCACTCACTCAATTTTAGTTACCTTGTTATGTTCTTGGAAGGAGATTTTCATCTAACAACACAGACATGTAATAGCCAATATAATAAAAAGCAGGAAAAGGAAAAGTCTGGAGTAAGCACATTAGCAAAGAATAGAATGGCAGAACACATGAAGAAGTGGTCAGTTAACCTCGTGGGAATGGTTCACCCTTTCTGGAGACAGGGTGTTAAGCTGGGTATTGAAAGATGAACCAGATTCCTAGAGGCAGAGGGCTGTGGCCCCAGGCCTTGCAATATGAGCTGCATGGCTTGTTGAGAGACAGCTGGTAGCCAGGTGACTCAGGTGGGTGTTGACATGGGACTTGATCTGGAGAAGTAGCCTTGGCCAGCTTGTTGGGGCTGTGCCTTCCACACTAGACCCTGAGACTGTCTAGGAAGATGGCACACCTTACAGGTTTTAGATCAGAAGAATAACTTTATCCAAACTGTTAACTTTGTGAAGAGATTGAGGCTGAGGTTTGTGGTGGAATTGATGGCCTGGAGTGGAGCTGTAACAGAAATAGAAGTAGAGCATGAGAATTGCTCTTGAGTCACGAGGAGCAGCAGAGCAGACACCCGGCATTGAAGGAGATGGTCTGGAATGGTGAGAACACCTTCCTTTGCATAGAGATGCCTTTTTGATAGGAATGGTGGTCATTCAGCATCACCAAATTGACATGGATGAATGACTAGGAAAATTTACTATTTAGAAAGTTTAAAAGTTAAAAGGAGGTTACCTGAGCACATGAGTTTAATCTCTTACCTTTCCTGGCCACCTTCAAACTCTCATTGAAATAACCAAAGAAATATAATAAGTAGAGGATAAAAACAGTTACTGCTCTAGAAACCAGGGAGAGGAGTACTGTCCAAATGTCAGAAGGGTAAGCCAACCCACCTGGAATCTAGTTCATAGGGAAGAAAAGTACACCTGGGGACTCAGTGGCAGTGACACCCAGGGGAGCTCACTTTCAACCAAAGTAGGGGGCAGACAGGAGGCTAGAGCAAGCTAGGGAGCATCTAGCAGGCAGTAGCATCTCCAGGAAGCACTCCAAATGTCCAGGTCTGCCCCCTGCCTCCACTGGTCATGGGCTGAAGGCAGCAGGCCTCCCACGCCAGCTGCAGTAGCCACACTCCCCGTGGCTGTCCTGTGACCTGGCAGGTGAGACAGCACACACAGGTTTCCCTTCTGCCTCCACCTGAGCCTGAGGTATTGACAAAATCCATTCCAGCTCTCAATTCTGGAAAAACACAGGCCTGCCTATCTCTGGAAGGGTAAAGAAACAGAAAAGTTATTGTACCTATAGAGATTCAGAAGCTCAAAAGAAGACACTCGGAGCCTCCCAAGCATGTGGTGTCTCAGAAACAGACTCCTAAGTAATAGGAGAACTATTTTTAAATCTCTAATTTGTATTGCACAAAATTGAAAATACTATAAAAACAGTGCATCTGATAACCTAATGTGTGGAAAAGATTGCTTAGAAGTAAATTGCTGAATTTTAAGATGTGATGAAAACACTAAAGATCAGATTGGATGAGAAGACAAGCTCAAAATTTTTCTCAAATCTCAAAGGAAGAGGATAGAGATGGAAGAAAAAGAATTCAGGTAGAGAAAGAGGCAGGCTCTCCTACAAGGGAGAGAAGAAACAGACCAGCACAGCACATTCTCTGTGAAGTTAGATGCCAGTAATGAAGGCCCATCTGAAGTGTTAGATGAAAGTATCTGAATGCTGGAGGAGGAAGACTTTTGCAGCACTCTGAAATCATGAGGCAGAAAGTAAAGACAGAAGGAATGTTACTCACCAAAAATTTATCAAATGTGGTAAAACTTTATTCAGAGGAAATATATAGTCTTATATGTTTAAGTTGATAAACAAAATAAAAACAAAACAAGCATCAAACTTAAGAAACTATAAAATGCATCTAAGAAAGCAGGAAAGGGGAATCAATAAAAATCAAAGCAGAAATTAGTGAGAAAATAAGAAGAAAAGACCAGTAAAGTAATCATTGTGCATGTTTAATATAGAAAAAAACAAATGCACATATACAGCATGAACGAGAAAAAAAATCACAGGTATTTTTTAAAGTATGCAAGAACAATATATAGATACATACCTTTAAATTTGAATGAATTTGAAAATCACTGAAAACTATTATTTTCTAAGAAAACTGTCAGAAATTGTTTCAAGAAGAGATAAGAAATTGTCATAGATGAATAGGCCTGAAAGAATTTTTAAATTATCAGTCAGTGAAATATCTCTAAAACCAGGCAGCAGGCCAAGACAAATTAAAGGTTGAGTTAATTTACCCTCAAGAAATAGAAGCCTACGTCATTAAAGCTACTCCAGAACATTAAGAAAGATTAAAAATTATGAAGCTCTCAATGCTTTGCAATCTATAGACCACAATCACTTAGAAGTATAGATGTTAAAATATTAAATTGAATCCAGCCATATCTTAAAACAGTAACAGGTTGTGAGCAATTGGGATTTGTTCCAGGAATCCCAGTATGGCACACCATCAGCGTTTCTGTTATAGTTTATCATGTTAACAGATGGAAGACTTTTTATGTCTTTATCTCAGTAGATGCTGAGAAAGTATCGACATATCCTTAAATTTTTTATGATAAAACTTCTTTAGTATAACAATAATTGATGTTGGAAAAACAGGCTCTCCATTGTGAAAAAAAATTAAGACTCACATCACATCTCACAACAATAATTCCAGGTAAAATTCAATATTTAAATGTAAAAAGTAAAACCAAAGTAGAAGAAAATAAAGGTAATTTTTTTCTTTTTTTTTTTTTTTTTAATAATCTTGGAGTTGCAAAGAACTTTCTAAGCATTGATTTATCATAAGGAAAGAACTTTCTAAGCATTGATTTATCATAAGGAAAGACTAATAGGTGTGATGGAGGCATAGCTAAATAAAGTTGAGAGAGAAATTTTTTTTAAATGGTGGTAAAGGGTTACTATTTTTACTATAGAAAGAGTTCTTAAAAATGAATAAGAAAAGATGTTCACTACAGTAGAAAAATAGACAAAGGACATGAAAAGATAGTTCAGAAAAGAAAAATAGATGGCCAGTAAATAAATTTTTTAACACATCCTCATTAACAAGATATTGATTTTTACTTTTCAAGTTGACAAATTTAAAAAATAATAATAGTGATGGAGAGGCTGTGGGGCAGGTGAGCATTGTTTTTGGAATTGTGAGTTGATGCAGCCTTTCTTGGAGGAGGCAGCCAGCAACAGGGACCAGATTTTAGATGTAAACCCCCCTCTACTCCTAGAAACATGGAGTTCACCAAGATGTCTGTACACAGGTGTTCATCGTAGGGCTTGTTCGTTTTTTAAAATAAATTGGAAACAGTCGTGGGAGATTATGAAATAAATTGACATGTCCATACTATAAAAAATACTATTGCCATTTTTTAAAATGATCTATATTGACATGGAAAAATGTCTACACTATTTATATGGAAAAATGTTGCTTATTAAGTGAAAATAGCAGATTATGAAACCACGGCATGATCCCATTTTTTTTTTAGCATATGTGTGACATGCAAGCACGCTTTCATGTGTGAGGAACGTCTGCTGATTATGTTCACGTGATGAATTGTGGTTGATCTTCCATTTTGTTCATTTCTGTTTCAAAGTTTCCCATAGAGAATGTGTAGTACTTTGAAGTTAGAATTTAGCAACAAAAGTTGTTGCCATAAAGTGGGAGCTTGTTTGATGTGAGAGGTGGAGGTTTCACCCAGGGGTGCTCATGGCTCTGTGCTAGGCACCACGCTGCCTCAGTGCACACATCAGCCATGCATCAGTCCTCTCCAGGCTGCAGGCAAGCAGACTGTAAACACAGAAACACAAATTATAGCAAGTGGTGTGCGGAAGAGAGGTTGGATGGGACCTGTCTGAGGAGTATCATGTGAGCCGATCCTGGACAGGGGAAAGTGCTGGACAAGACTCCAGAAAGAAGACAGCTGGGCAGCAGTTGATGCTGCATGGCTCAGGCATGTGACAGGCTGGTGTGGCCAAGACCACATAGGGCTGTGGCAGCACTGAGGAGGAAGTTGGGTTTTATTCTTAGTGCAGTGGGAAACCATTCATTGGAGGCTGTCAAGAGTGCTTCACATGTTTTGATGTGATTTGCAAGAAAGGTTATAGACAGAAACAGTAGTTATGTAATTGAATAATTATACAAAAGAACTGATTCCTAATCCCCAGCTTTGCGCTGAGTTACCTTGCGAAACTTTCCTTTTCTGTAAAATGGGGAGCCTAACAGATCTGTTGGGATTGTAAACGTTACATGAGGAAGGCGAGACATACATACTGTGCATGTTAGTCAGTTCTTTTATGAAATCACTTCCTATATTGGATAACAGTACTTTCTGGTATTGTGTTTGGCAAGCATAGATGCTAGCTTTAAAATGTCTACTTTATACTACATGTTGGTAGAAAGCACTCCAGAAGCTTTCGTTTTAATATTCTATTTGCTGATTGCTTACTTTTCTAATTTGGGGGAAGAGATGGTTTAGGAATAATTGTTTTAAAATCATTTTGTGATAAATTTTAGTCTAGCCCCTTGAGTGATTTTGATTAATTAACATTTTATGTGAAGTTTTCTCTGCTGTTAAACTTTTCCTTTACCCTATATTTATTAAAAAACATATATCTCAATCACTTTATTAAATCCCACTTCTGGAATATTTTGAAGCAAATCCCCATCATCATAGTTTTTCATCAATAAGTATTTTAGTATGTATTTCTAAAAAAATGACTTTTTAAAATATAACCACAATAAAATGGCTAATACTGACTATCCTTACAAAACATGTTTTTAATCCGCTGTGTTATATCTTTGTTTTGAGGGGGGTGGTTATGAATGCAAACATACGCTAAACCAGTATAGAATGAAGTTGTATAAAGTTGCATAATCAATACAAGACTAATTTTACTCCTTTTAAATTTTACCTTATAAAATTCTGTGCTCTCAACATTTAATATCTTGATATGTGCTCTGTAGCTTGAGGTGATTGTTGGTGAAAGGTTATTATATTTCAGAGGTCTGGGATATTTCATGCTTGACATCTACTTCCCATCACACATGGATTTGGAAGCATAAGATGCTGAAGGTGGGGAGAACCTCAGGGGCCAGTTGGGTGACCCCACTCTACTGAGGAGCTGAAGCCCCCGGGGTGCCAGGGATGGGATCGCTGAATTAAGTCACAGCCCTTCTAGAACCTGCCTTTGTTAACCCAGAATCCATGTCTCTCTCAAAGTTATCTGGTTTGCAGTGCACTTAAAATTCCCTTCATTGTGGTTTATTTGAATATCCATCATAAATAATAACTCATTTTTAAAAATAAAGCGTCTTGGGCCGGCCCGGTGGCGCACTGGAGAGTGCGCCGCTTGGGAGCGTGGCGGCGCTCCCGCTGAGGGTTCGGATCCCATGTGGAGACCGGTTCCCGCTCACTGGCTGAGCGCAGTGAGGGTTGCGATCCCGTTGCCGGTCCCCGGTACGGGTGTGACACCGAGGGTTGCGATCCCGTTACCGGTCAGTAAAAAAGACAAAAAGGAAAAAATAAAAATAAAAATAAAGCATCTTATTGCAACCAATTAGCTGTTGTTAAGAGCCATTTACTATTGTCTCAGAAAGAGAAAGGGATTCAGTGTTTGTTGAGTGTGTGGGGACTGGGAAGGTTTTTTTTTTTTTTTTCTTTTTGTCTTTTGTATTTCTCTTAAATTAAGTTTTCCAAATATTCCAGGGGAAAAACATGGCATTTTTTTGTTGTTGTTGTTCGGTTTAGAATTTCTTTTATGTTAGGTTTAGAATTTTCATATGGGCGTACAGACTGATCTAACATAATACCTGTCACAAAGTAGGTACCCAGTAAAATGTTTGCTGAATAAAGGAATGGATTCTTTAATTTTTGCTTTAAAAGAAAAGGCTCATTTATATAGTTAGAGTTTCTTTAAAGATACTTTTTTATAGTGGAGTCGCATCATATGCCTGCAAATGCAAATTCAGCTATATGCTGAACCATGATCAGAGCCTGGTGCTGATAACACCAAGGTCAAGGGTTCAGATCCCTGTACTGGCCAGCCACCAATAAAAGAAAAGAAAAGAAAAATGAGAAGAATTGACCATTAAAAATTGTAGGTGATCCTGCTCTGGCACTTAGTGTGTTCTTGCTGTGGCCCCAGGCAGCACCGTCACTGTGCAGTCCCATCACAACAGGAGCCACCCTTTGGGGGACTTGGTTCAGTCCCACTCATCCTGGCCCTCTCATTTGCAGTGGGCATTTAAGTAGGACCACTCTGACAATATGGATGTCTCTCCCAGCCGTAGAGCCCCCTTGTAAGATGTGACTCCACTCTAGATGTCACCTCCTGCCAGGTGATGCCCAAGTGGGTGGGAGGGCCTGGGGGAATCTCTTCTCTGTGCTTCTAGTTACCTAAAAATGTCACAATTTTCACCTTTTCTCAATAGCTTCATTTGCTCCAATAAGCTTTGCAATCAAGGCCAAAGAAAATGATCTACTTCCCCTGGAAAAAAATCGTGTTAAGCTAGATGATGACAGTGATGATGATGAAGAAAGCAAAGAAGGCCAAGAAAGTTCTAGTAGTGCCGCAAACCCCAGCCCGGCAGTTGCCCCACCCTGTGTAGTTGTGGAGGAGAAGAAGCCTCCACTTACCCAGGAGGAGCTAGAAGCAAAGCAAGGTTTGTCAATGGCTTTTAAATTTTTTGAAAGAAAGAAAATACGTAAATATAAGATTTCCCTGCTAAGCCAAAACTACTGAGACTGCCAACTCAAATCTTGAGACTTTGGAAATCGGAGCCATTTGGGAGTTGTATAACATGTGAGCATTTGAAAAGTTCCCTGTTAGAGTAATGAGCACCACTCTTCTGTGAGCATCAAGGCGGTGCCGCTGGCGATTTGTTTTCAAAGACTCCATGTTGGCTGTCTCAGACCTGATGCGCCCCAGCGCCCCAGTAGAGTGCATTGATGGAGGTGCACTTCGTGCTTTGATGGCTGCCCCAGGGCAAAGTGCTCAGCCTGTGTTCCCAGCTCAGGTTAATGTTCCAAAGTAGGAGATGCCCTTTTGTGAGCTGTCTCACAGCAGAACCATTGGACCCTTGTAGATGGTGTGTGCCCAAGCTGATTTCTCCAGGCGGGCTGTGGCCAGTCTTCATGAGTCACCGCATGGCCTCTACAGGGCCCTGACGTGTGGCCAGCAGCATTTGGAGGGGACATCTCACAGTCTTTCTGCCCCCCCCCTCCGAAATAAATTATATTCTGCATGAAAGTAGTAAATTTCTGATTGCATTTGCGGCTTTTGTGTAATTAACTGGTTTTCTTAAATTGGTTTTCCTGTGTACACAAACAGATCAAGCAACATTTTAAAAAGGTAATTTTTTAACCCCAGTATGCTCTACTGTCAAGAACTCACCTTGTACTCAGTTCTCCCTAAGCAAATTTGTATTTGTACATGTGTATCTAGATCTGTTCTTCCTGTGTGTAAACTGAACAACTTGTTGGATCATTTGGAATAAAACTTTACACAGAGTATTCACTGCCTGGTATGAATATTTTGGATACATGTTTATGAAAGCCATTTTGACATTTCCATTATTCTAGCTTTCACTAGTTTGGAATCCTGTCAACTTTCTGACTTTGAAAGTAAAATGTCAAAAAAAAGAACAGAATTATAAACTAATTCTCTGAAAATTCAGATTGCCTGATGTGTTTACCTATTCTGAAATTTGTATCATGTTCTTTTTTTTAAATAACTGCATTGTATGACCCTTTTGCCACCTATAGAAATTAAGATAGGAAGATAAAATACTGCCTGCTCTAAACTTCTTTTTTCTTTGTTTATTCCTTAAGCAAAGCAAAAGCTGGAGGACCGCCTTGCAGCTGCTGCCCGGGAAAAGCTGGCCCAGGCGTCTAAGGAGTCGAAGGAGAAACAGCTTCAAGCAGAACGTAAAAGGAAAGCAGCGTTATTTTTACAAACCTTAAAAAATCCTCTCCCAGAAGCAGAAGTTGGGAAAATTGAGGAGAGTCCTTTCAGTGTAGAGGTACGTTAAAGAAATTCCACATTGGCATTTGTGGGGAAGCATGATAATAAGAGTAGGTGAGCATGGGGCTCTCTCTTGCCAGAGTAAGGGATTTTTGCTCACCCCACTCTGCCGACCCACAAGGGTTACAGACTTTATAGCCATGCGTCTGTAAGAATCTGATGACAGCCTCTCCATAAATGTACATATGCACATACACACCAAATACTAGCCATGATTTCAGAGAATTCTCAGACCACTGGGCCCCAGCTTAGGAGTGTCTGCTTTATGACTGCCCTTCCAGGGCCCACAGGAGAGCTTTGAGTGCTCATGAGGGGCTTGCTGCTGGAGTGCTCCCTGCAGCACCACTGTGGCCCATACTGAGCTCACACTACTGCTAACAACCTTATGCCAGGGTCTATATCAATATCAGTATTTTTCATTAAAAAGAAGTAGTGAGATATGATCACCTTTGTTTTTAGTAAGAGGGAGTTGATGGTAGTCTGTACAAAGTTACAAAGTTACAGTTAGATGGGAAGAATAAGTTCTGGTGCTCTAGGGTGACTATAGCTAATAATATTGTATTGTATATTTCAAGATAGCCAGAAGAGAGGATCTGGAATACTATAACCACAAAGGAATGATAAATGTTTCGGACATAGATATGCTAAGTATTCTAATTAGATCATTATACAATATATGCATGTATTGAAATAAACTATACCCCATAAACACGTACAATGAAAAAACTTAATTAAAAAATTTAAAAGTTTTTAAAGAAATGGAGGATGTTGAGAGCACAGGCTCCAGGGGTAGACAGTCCCTTGCTCAGCAGTGTGACCAGGGACTTGGCCTCAGATGGGGATCATCTCATTGCTGCCTTTTGGGGTGACTGCCTTGAGTGAGGTGCCTGAGACCACCCTCTGGTTAACGCTGGTTCCTTCCACAGTGGTGGTGGGTGGGAGCAGCTAATCCTCCTCCCTGGAAACTCTGCCTTTTCCTAGTCACACCAATGTAGAATCTTTTAAGTTTTATTTTATTTTATTTATTTTTTTTTTTTCCTTTCTGTCTTTTTTCGTGACCGGCAACGGATCGCAACCCTCAGTGTCGCGCCCGTACCGGACCAGGACCGGCAACGGGATCACAACCCTCGGTGCTGTGCCCGCACCTCGTTCAGCCAGTGAGCGGCCGGTCTGTATGTGGGATCTGAACCCTCGGCGGGAGCGCCGCCACACTCTCAAGTGGCGCACTGTAGCAGTGCGCCACCGGGCCAGCCCCTAAGTTTTATTTTAGATTCTTTAGCAGTTCTCTCTCTGAATTTTATTTTGTATTTAAAGTATACTTCAGGAATATCTAGAGATTCTCTTGGGAGTTCAGAAACATTTTGGAGACTTTTTAAAGTAAGAAAGAATAGAGTATGACATTCACCGAGGCTTAAAGGAGGTTTGTCTTTGTATAAGTAAGTTGTGACAGAACTGAGTGTCCTAGTAGCGTGTACTCCCATTTTAGATGAATTGAAAGCCTCCTTCACATTTGAACTATGATATTAGAATGGTTTGTAGATTCACAGTTAGCAGCAGCTAAAACGTTATAGCCTTATGGTTTTTTTAGAGCAGTTAAACACAGTCATTTGAAAAAATCTTTCTCAACTTAATCTGTCTTTTAAAAAAAAAAAGATAGTAACTTGAGGAATTTTGCTTTTCGAATAGTTTCAAACCTTGAGAAAAATTGAGAGTAGTGAAATGACCACCTTGCCCACCCCACATCTGGTATGCACGTCTGCACGTACACTTATTTCCCAGAACAGTCTGAAGCTCACATGCAGACATGGTGACAGCCCTCCCCCAGATACTCCAGCATGTGTCCCCACAAGGAAAGACCTTCTCCTGGGGAACCGCAGCCCCGTAGGACAGACTGATCATGGCTGTCACTTTAGTTCCTATGCAGAACACAGCCACATCTCTCCATGTGTCCCCAGATGTCTTTTGTAGCTGGCTTTTCCCATAATAAAGAACAAGCCCTTTGCTTTTTTGACTTTAATTACATTGACATTTCTAAGAGTCCAGGGTCATTATTCAAAACTAATTTTCTGCATGTAGTTGCCTGCTTTGTTTTTCTGTTGAAAGCAGTATTCTGAGTTCAGATTGTTAGCATTCTGCTGAAGGCTGAATCAACTTTCTTGTGTCAGGAATCAGTCTGAAATGCTCTCAGATTTGGCAGGAGCTTCCAAAGATAGCTGGATTAGACTGGGAAGAGAAGAAGTTAACGTAAGTTTGTGTGAGACCTTGTCAAGTATGGAGTATCACCTGGTGAGCTGACTCCTGGATGTTGCCACCTGCTTAAGCATTGGGTCTGAAAGTGGTCAATGGTCCTATCCTCTGAACCATCCTTGACAATGCCACTCCCAGGAAATGTGCACTTTCAGGGGAGAGGGAAACCCACCAGCAGCCCCCCAGGACAATCACCTCACTGCCATCTATACAGCTCTTTACAGACATGGGCTGCCTATCTCTGGCCCTCACTTCGGCCAGTTTTGGCAAAAGCAAAAGGATCTGTTGTCGTTCCTTAGCTTTGGAAAGATTTCTGCAGAAATAAGGGAATGAATATGTACCAACTAAAAATGATCATTAAGACTACTGTAACCGCATAGAAAAATACTTTTGATATAGGAAGGGGAGAGGCAGAATTTAAAATATCTGCTGCCTTTCATGGTTGCAGCTGTAAAAATTATGCGTGTAGCAAGGAGGGGGAGAAAACTTAAGAAAGTAAGGGAAGCGTTGTAATGGTAGGGATGTGTGTATTTATTTTAATTTCCGTTATTGTTTCGTATCATTTGTGCAGTGAATAAAGGGGTTAATTAAAAGACATCTGCAAAAATACATACTTTAACTGATTATATTACATGATTGCATCTATATGTTCTAATAAAATTGTGTTTTAATGAAAACTCAGTGCAGTCATTCATCATTAATCCACAGTTTTTCCCAGTCTACTATTTTGAATAGCTACCAGAATTCTTCCCTTGTAAACACAAGATAGGCTACAACTTATGCCTTTATCCTATTTGTTTTTATATGAGGCTTCTCATTTCCTGCTTTCAAGCATTGGTTTTAAATCTGTAATACGTAGAAATGAGTGTTTAAGTCATTGGAATGATCTCCCTGGATATGTGTGTGTGTGTTTTGTGTATATACAGAGTATAGTTACTAAGCTATTTTAACAAAAATGTAATGGTAGCAGCAGATGGTGATAAGTGTATTTAACTTCTTTGAAACAAAAATATTTGTAGTTAAATTGGCAACCATCATAACTAAGATTCAAACTTGAAAAAAATTCTAGCCTAAGGCACCTTCTGGAGAAAGGTGCCCTTGGCTTTAGTAAGAGTTCTTATGTGCAGTTTACTCACAGATGCTGGGATGTTTGACACAACTACGTAGGTGGGGAGTTCTTAGAGTGCAGGATGAATTGAGACATGATGGGGTATGGCCCTCAAGCCCTGGGTGAGGAAACCCACGAGACTTAGGAGTCAGCACAGTGGGAGCTCGTGGCCTCCTCGATCAGAGCATGACCAGCGTGGCCCACTTTGCAGGACAAGCAGATGCATGTAGGGTGGCATAAGGACACTCTAAAAGGTGTAGTACAAAACTTGGCAGGAATTTTACTGTCTTAAGGTTCACTGAAAACAGCCACCGTGCAGTTTATTTGCCTTAAGGACAGGCACTTTTCTATTTTTACTTTGCTTTTGATAAAAGCAGTATATACATATGATTTTAAAAGTTCAAATGCTGGAGAAAGACATAAAATGAAGAGGAAAAGTCTTTTCGTGCACACGCGCACTTGCGTGTGTGTGTGTGCGGGCGTGCGTGCGTGCGTGTTTTAATTCCCGTAGAAGTCACAGTTTTTTAAACTTTATTTTGGGTTTTTTATTGTGGCAAAATGTTCATATAAAGCTACCATTTTAACCCTTTATTCTGGTGTCCAGTTCAGTGGCAGTAAGTACCTTCACATTGTTATGCAACCATCCCCACCATTCATGTCCAGAACTCTCATCTTCCCAAACTGAAACTGTAACCATTAAAATGACTTCCTATACCCCTCCCCCAGCCCCTGACGACCTCTATTCCACTTTCTGTCTCTATGAGTCTCATGACTCTAGGGACCTCCTGTAAGTGGAATTATATAGTGTTTGTCCTTTTGTGACTGGCTTATTTCACTTGGAACAGTGTTCTCAAGGTCCATCCATATCGTAGCACATGTCAGAGTTTCCTTCCTTTTTAATGCTGAATAATATTCCATTGTATGGATGGACCACATATTGTTTCTTTTGTATTCTTAAGGGGGGAAGAAAATCTGTCGATTTATGTATAGATTTCAAATACTGTAATGGGACTCTGCCTCATACATTATTCTGACAATTTGCTGTTTTCAGTTATTGTAAAGATCTGTCCATGTCAGTGCTCAAAGTAGCACTTGGTATTATATAGGCACCTGGTAAATATCTGTTGGCTGAGCAACTGTAAGTCATTTATCTGTCCTTAAATCACCCTCTTAGAGTGTGCCGTCACTGGTAACTGCCCCCTGCTGTGGGAAATGTAAAACATGTCCAGGGTTTTATGGTTGTGAGTAAGGCTACTTTAACGCTGTTGTCCTGTATCTTCTGCACTTCAGTGAATGTCCTCATGAGTTAGATCCCTGACCGTGGAACTGCTGTTTTAATTTGAGGTACTGCTAAATTGGCCCCAAAAGAATGGCAGCAGTTTTGTTTACCTCCGTGGGGTATGAAAATAACTTTTCTCGTGGCCCTGTCAGCTCTAGTCATCACCCTTAATTCTTATCAGTCTGCTAGGCAGGAAAATGGCTCTGTTTTAATTTACATATTTTAATGATGAGTGACACTGAATAACTTACCTTGGTTTCTTGGCATTTGGGTTTTCTGCTGCACTGTGAACTGCCCTGGTGGCTGCTTTCCTTTTGGTTGCCTCTGACCCTGCACTTCATGTTAGCACTTCCTTGTCAGCAAC